GATGGATGGATGGATGGATGGATGGATGGATGGATGGATGGATGGATGGATGGATGGGTTAAGATAGGCAGGCAGGCAGACAGGCAGGTAGACGCCCAATAAAAGGGGCTTGAGTCCGGTCCAAGAAAGTATCTTGAGAAATTGTCTCAGAGAAACCCTTTCCTAGTCCACATAAAGGGAGGGAAGGAGAAAGCCTATTCAGGCTTGCAAACTATCTTCCATTGTTATTATATCTGTTCCGGTAAAAGTAATCCTTGCATTCATGGAATTGGCTTCATATGGTTTCACAATCTGGTCTACTTTGTAGGGCTGACACATCGGAACTCTTTCTTTTTAGAATCAGATGAAACATTATTTTCCAGGTCTTTTAATTCTGTGGGGTTTGTTACAGGTGAAAATCTCAGTAAGTCTGTTCTTTTACAACGAGCACCATCATTTCAATTCTCATAAGAAAAACTCTAACCCATCTGGCAATTATTGCATTTTGTGAGATTGCTTATTCTCATGGTGGAGGGCATAGCACTCAACACCACCGTAGGATGATTGGGGGACACAAAAGTAAACAAGAACTGGTTAAATATAGACATTGTTAATCTTCTCCACTGTCTTAACAATAAACTAAATTTGTATAGTTAGAAAATGAAGGAAAGCAATTCTTCAAAAATGAAAGCTGTTGACTCAGCTATTTGTCATCTTCTTGGAACGCTCCATGCTTTCCTGTGACGCATGCCCTATTCCCACTTAAATTTATTTTAAGGAAAACATTTTTATATCTGAAATATTTCAATATCTGAAAATATTTGAAATTGAGTAGCTGATTAGTTAGATGGTGCTGATATGTAAGGTTACTAGAGCTACCAAACTGAAGAGCTACTGACTGAAGATGCACGTTTCTTGGAAATATTTGAAATATTAATATTTGGATAACTTCCACAAGTTTAATCAAGATACTTTGAACTTCTGTTGACTTCTGTTCTTGGGAGAGAAAAGTAAAAAAGCAACATATTAGGGACAAAAACACATGAGTTATGATGAATGAAGGTGATAGAGAAGATTCTCTGGTAATTTGTGAATATCTATTTTAGAAAAAGTAAAGGGACACCGTGGCTCAGTGGCTAAGACACTGAGCTTGTCGATCAGAAAGGTCGGCAGTTCGATGGTAATGAGCTCCCATTACTTGTCCCAACTTCTGCCAACCTAGCAGTTCAAAGGCATGTAAAAATGCAAGTAGAAAAATAGGAACCACCTTTGGTGGGAAGATAACAGCGTTCCATGCACCTTCGGCATTTAGCCATGCCAGCCACATGACCACAGAGACATCGTTGGACAGTGCTGGGTCTTCAGCTTTTAAACGGAGATGAGCACTGCCCCCTAGAGTCGGTAACAACTAGCACATATGTGCCAGGAGAAGCTTTACCCTTACCTATTTCAGAAAAAAACAAAAGCCCAAACCCAGTATGGTACAGCTGCCCAAAACACTAACAAACAGGCTCACATACAGACACACAAGCACAAATGCCTAGTGGAAGGAGCTACCTAAGACTACTAGTCCTCAACCTATGATCATAATGGAGCCTGACTGTAAAATGGATCACCAATCCAATTTTACAACCTTTTCTGAAGCAGTTGTTAGGGAACCGTGGCTTTTAAGCAAACACCATAGTCTTTAAACGAACTCATTGTTTGCTATGAGGCAATGTTGCTAAAAGCTTGGAAGTAGATAGAAGGCCATCAGAACCTAGGAACCAGGTCCTGTCTTTTTGGTGGAGTCCATTGGAATTTTGAACTGTTGCTAAGCAACTGGTTATCAATCAAGGCCTACCTGTAGTTGTAGTGACTGCCTCGGTATGGAGTCTTTTTTGACTACAATGTTGAATGAGCATCTTGAGGGCCATCTATGAGGCTTGCTGTAACTGCCTCCTATATTCGGACTGGTGTTCTGTCAAAGCATCTCCATGATCCTTGCAGCTCCATAGCCTATAGTGGCTGTTCTGCCTCGAGCGTTGTAGGCTTGCTCGGTGCATGCAGTTAACTCCACGCTTAGGAATCTCATTCAGATCAAGTTTATTATCAGGCATTCTTAATAGCAAAACTTACAGTTCAGTGTTAAGATACTTCTGGTTTTCCATAATCTTTTCTATCACGTGGTGTAAAAAGATGATGATTTCACTCCCATGCTGAGTGGAGATACAAACACTACTATTCCGGTTCACAAAGGCATTTAAACTGACTGGCTATAAACTTTGCACTCGGGCAAAATGCCCCAGTGGCCAATCAGAAACAGAGATGTGATCACATGTCATGGAATTACATTTCCCATAAGGCAGTCTCTGCCTACATTTCCCAGGAGGTAGTTTCTTAAAGGAGACAGTTCTTAATTCTTACACTAGCTATATACTGCTGGGGCAGCACAATGGCATTGATGTATGGAAGGAAATGGGTGGATTGAGTTGATTGCATCGTCACTGCTGCTAGAAAACTAGTATATAGATACTACTAGTTTTAGAAAATGCAGTTAATTCACACCAAGTTGCCAGCTCAATACTGTTTCCAGGATGGTCCTGTGTATACAAAAACTTTAATGAAACTTCCACCAATATAACTGACTCCTAGACAAAATCTTTGGTGGCATTCAGTATTAAACTAGAAATCTCCCTTTCTCTAGATGTTATCATGATTCAATTGTACCTATAAATTTCCAGTAGAGGGCAGCAGAGCACTGTGGCTCCCATGCAGTGACTTACAAATAGCTTTTAACTTTATTTGTCTATCAAGCTACTGTGCCACATTATTGTTATGAGAGAAAGTAGTTTATAGGAAACAAATAAGGACAAGTCAGTGTAATAAAGCATTTAGGTTCCTTGGGTGACTATACATACCAAATTGGCCACCAGTCATCCTAATAAAGCCTTTACAATTGCTGAACCACCAACTTCACGCAAAATAATTTATTATGCATTCTTCTCCAAAGACTATTAAAAATGAGTTTTGGGATCCAACTTTTCATCCCCTTCTCTTCAGTTTCCTTCCTTTGAAACAATTCAATTTGATAATTGACTAAGTTAGGAAGCCAGCCAGCTAATGTATCTAAAAAATGAAATGATGCTACAACATCACCGACTTCATAGTATAAGGCAGGGATGCGAACCTTCTTCCGGAAGAGAAGCTGTCAAGTGGGCGTGCGCACAGTGGGAAATGAACTTCTGGTTTCCAGTGCACACATGCGCCACAGCCAGCTTGTCTTCTGGTTACTGGCACACATGCACGTGTGATGTTCAGCTGGCCACCATGCATGTGCACAACGGAAACTGAAACACCAGCTCTTCCAGTTTCCGGCACTGCCACACCCACAAAAAACAGCTGATTGTCACGCGCACAGAAGAGACCCAGAAATCCAGAAGAGAAACAGGGGGTGCTTCACGTGCCAGCTAACATGGCTCCGCATGCCACTCAGGGCATGTGTGCCATAGGTTCACCATCACAGGTATAAGGTAATGTTGGGGAGGAAACTCCTGTTCCCATGACCCACAACATGTTATGGAAAATCAAAAGTGGGGCCAATTTGTCTAGTAAGGGGCTGTCAAAATCTTCAAGAATTTTGGGAGCAGCAACAAGATCTGTGCCCAACCCCCAGCATTATGTATTTTGGAGGGACACCCATACATGTTCAAAGGGGGCTGGACTTGGATTGCAATGTCAGTCCATCATTTGCAAATTATGACACTGCCCGTTTTCAACTAATTCTCAGATACTTGAATCTAGTACAAAGTTTCTCTTCTTTGGGCTGGGAGGATCTAATCCAGTGCCGAAAAGGGAGCACTTCGCGCTTGTGCATTTGTCCGAGTGCGTTCACTTCTCTGGGCCGCGACCAGGAAGAAGAGCTGCCCAGGGGGCATTTGCACATTAGAAAATGAACTTCCAGTTTCCGGGCTGCCACATGCGCGCCAGCCAGCAAGTTTTCTCGTTACTGGCATGCATGCGCACGCCGGAAAATGGAAGACCAGCTCTTCTGGTTTCTGGCACTGCCACACGTACAAAGGCCAGTGGATCGTCGCTTGTGCATGCGTGCCAGAAACCCGGAAGAGGAACGGGTGATGCCGCACATGCCAGGCAACATGGCTCCACATGCCACTTTTGGCACGTGTGCCGTAGATTCGCCATCACGGATCTCATCCAAGGCTGTCTTGGCAACTTTAAGATTTGTGGACCCCCAACTTCCAGAATTGAATTGATGAAGACTTATTTGTTTTAACCTTATGGAGAGCGAAGACTTATTAAATTTGTTTATACTTGCGACGAAGGTTGAATGTTGCTTCCTTATAAATGTATTTCTTTTTAATTACACACTCTTTTTTCTCTTTCCTTACACATTCTATTCTTTCCTCTTTTGCAAAGTTTACTTTGCAATTGTTTTTTACTACTGCCATTAAAATTCTTAATATGAATAATATTTGGGAAGAAATATAACGTCTCTCTTGGGGGGGCGGGTGTCCTTCTCAATCTTGCAGGATGTTTTTGGCACAGCAAATTATGAACAGCAATCTTCTGCTCCTGGTAACCGATGCCACCTGTGATTGCAGCATCTTCCCATCTTTTGCATTGAAAGCTAAAGAAGTCAAATATATCTTTTTCCCTGGCAATTCCCTGTACTGGACTGCAACCTTTTGGCAGTTCATTAGACACAAATGAAATACAAATCTAGCGTTTTCCTTCATAGCTCTAAAAGGGATTAATAGAACATGCTTCTGTTTAAATGTGGAATGAAAACAGTACTGTTAAAAAGTGAGGTCAAAACAGTATTATATTCATCCTCTTTTAATCCCTTGCGGGGTGGAGTCTGTGCAAGAGAATGGAGCTGGCCAGATGCCCTTCTTGTTGCCAGTGCGGAGTTTTGTTCAGCAGATATATTCCCAGTGTGCCCAGAGAGAGAAATATCTGTCTCTACCTAGGATCAAACTCACAGCCTCTTGTGAGGTGAGAGTTCCACCTCTAGCCCACCGCACCACTCCCAAACAGTACTATATTGCTAGTTGCTACTCACAGTAATTTATTATTGCTTGTTACACTTTAGGCAAAGTGAAATGTGTGTGCTCTTCTGGATTCCGTAATTCTTTCTTACGAAGGTAAGCAGGGAAAAATAAGTCTTGCTGTTTTCCAAATTCTCTTTAAAATTTTAATTTTCAAGGCCTGTGGAGTCAGTGGGGATATAGAAGGACAGGTCGTTCTATTAGAAACTACAACACTACAAGCAAAATGCTTTTGATTTTATCTCGAGTGCTGTGTACAAACCACTTTAGCAATTGGGTTAGCACTGCAGTTTTACCCAAGAGTTTACTCTAAATCAGGATTGGTTCAATTACCCCGATCACCTACATTTCTGGATCCACATGACTTGCTATAGCCTGACTACTTGGTTGGATTGGCATAGTATGTGAAGCCAATGTTCTCAATTTTGGGATCAGAAATCCATAGTGATCTGCAACACTGCTATAGATGGCCGGGTACAACTGCCAAAATAAAAATATTACCAATCTTAGCTAGAAATTGCAGGGAATTCAGGATTTAAAAAAAAAGACTCCCTTGACTTAAATTTAGCTCCTGTCAACTACTTCATTCACACATCCATGAAGTTTTCTTGATCATCGTATTCGTCATTGTTTATTCTAGGATTCTCCAGAATCCTCCTATCTCAACCTTGCTTAGCTTTTCAAGATTTAGTTTCCAAGTTCAGCTCTCGCCTGCTGAGTCTAACTCTTTAGAATAACTAGGAAACGTTCGTTCTGAACCAGTGAGTTGATGAGAAAAGATAAAACATGCAGAAAATGTATCTAATGAAACATTACATCTGGTCTTGGCCTGATAAGCTTCAGTTCAGCACAAGGAGGAAATGAACTTGTAGGCTGGGTCCCAAGACTAGGGGAAAGCCATTGCTTTCAAGAGATCCAGCCTGCTGCCCATCCAGGAAGGCTCCCAGCCTGCAGAGGTGGGCAGCTGGGGGTTCACAGGAGTTTGGGAGAACCTCTAGCTAAGATTCTGTGCAGTTCGGACAACCCTCAAATCCCACTCCTGGCTGGCTCCACCCACCCCACGAGTCCCCATGCGGCCTGTTTTGGATGCAGGTTAAGTGCAGGGCGCACACAGATTCTTGGGGAGGGCGCAAAACAGGCCTACCGGAAGTTCGGGAAGACTGGAGTCTGGGGAGGCCGTTTTTCACCCTCCCGGAAGGTCAAGGAAAGCCTCTGGAGCCCGGGGAGGGCAAAAACATCCCCCACCTTGTTGCAGGAGGCTGTCTAGGCTGCCCCCCACCATGGCCATTCCTACCCAGCAACCAGGCAGAGAACCCCTTGCTAAAAAAATTGTGAAGCCCACCCCTGCTCCCAGATGGCCTCAATCCAGCTAAAAGTCATGACAAGTAAAGTTGGCCAGATTGGTTATGATGAAGTCCTGTTGGGTTCAATATGATTTGGGGATGTTTTTGTGAAAACATTGTCACTAATTCCAGCTCATCTCAACTGGAGCTACTCACAGGGGTGGCAGAAAAATATTTAGGAAACCTTCTTCCTATGGCAAAGACTTGATGTGTAGGCTTTGTCCTGTTGCTGCAATATTATTCAGATGGGCTGAAGCCTCCTGCTTAGCTCGAGCATCAGGAAATGCTATGTATGTGATGGAAACACATTTCTGTAGGCTAGCTGGTATTTTTAGTCACAAATTTAAATTATTGGCCAACACAGCATCCGCTGACTCTAGATATTTTAAGTAAGATGTCCCTATTTCTCCACTTCCCAACACTGCTATTAGCCTTAACAGCTGCGTACATAACAATTCGGTGAAATGCGACAGGATGCGCTCTCAGAAACTAAGACGCCGACCAGACAGCTGCCATGCATTCCACCCAGAGGTAAGATCTGTTAGCTTTTGGTTACAGAATAATTTGCCAAAATTATAGAATTATATGTACAATATAACAATACCCTTGTCACAAGAGGTGGCATTCAGCAGGTTCTCACCAGTTCTGGAGAACTGGTAGCGGAAATTTTGAGCAGTTTGGAGAACCGGTAAATACCACCTCTTGTGACCCGACAAAAGGGCGAATGACAAAACCGTGCCCGACTAAACCACGTCGCTAAAACCGCGACATCATCAGCGCGGTGACAACAGCACGGAGACAACAGTGCGGAGACAGAAGGGCACTTTACAACAGCGTGTCAGCGGAAAGCCGATTTAAGGTAAGGGTTAGGTTTAGGGTTAGATTTAGGGTTAGGTTTAGGGTTAGATATAGGGTTAGGTTTAGGGTTAGGTTTAGGGTTTGGTATAGGGTTAGGTTTAGGGTTAGGTTTAGGGTTAGGTTTAGCGTTACATTTAGCG